GTAGACAGGATCCCTCTAGATAAGCCAGGGATGACAGGACAGACACAGTGACTTCAACCCCATCCACCCTGTACCTTCCACTGGGACAAAGTACCTAGAGGCCACTGCTGCTCGCTAAATGGAGAATGACTGCTCAGCTCAGGCTGAACCAAAGGTCCAAACCCAGCAGTTCTTTCCATGAAGAGAATGAACTCCTTACACATTACCAGCAGTTGATTTGTAAGAATAAAAAGTTCCAGGGAGTGATGATACCAATATTATATAAATGTTAGTGAAGAAAACTTTCACTCAGGTCTTGGCAGTTGTCTTGAGAACCTGGTACCCACCCTTGCCTTGCCTTAGTGCCCTCCCTCCCTCCCTCCCCTCCCTTCCTTCTCCCCACTCCTTGCCTTCTCCCCTCCCTCCCTCCCTCCTTCCCCCTCCCTTTCTTTAATCCATCACTCTTTCTTTCTTTCTTCTTTATTTCTTCCTGTCTTTCTCTTTCTTAATACCTGTGCTCAAATCTATATTAAAATCTTAATAAAGTCCAACTTTCCTTCATAAAGAAGTCAGATCTTGGGCAATGTAAAAATCTCTTGGGATCTATTAGACAAGTCTCCAAATGAGTGCAAATATAAATAATGGTTTAAACGACACATACTATATAAAGTGCAGTCCTTGAAATTTAAGTTAAATTTTGGAGCAAAGACCCTCCTCTCCAAACACTAACACAGTCTCATCTCTCTAAGTCTTAGTTGTTATAAATGCATTCAAGATAAACAGAGAACATTAATTTTATAAGATAGCTCACTCACATCTGTTTCCTACTCACTACTAAACCCATCATACCTTCCCCCATGCTTGGACCTCCACTACCAAGGCTTAGTTTAAGAACCTCCCAGCAGTGTGTTATTGGGCCATGAATGGATTCCTACAAAGGGAAACTTTATTTCCTGTTCAGACTCACAGCTACCTCTCCTGTCTTTCCCTCATCTTCCTCCACAGTCCAAGTGCCCTGAAACATGTAGTGATGTGGCAGAGAGGATGTGAAAAGAGAACAGAGGACAAAAGAGTCCCGTTGCTGTTCAGAGTAGCCAGTCCTGGGCCTGCTGCCCAGCTAGCCATGAAGGCTGAGTTTTCCTGCCAGCACAGAGAACGTCTGAGCTCAGCGTAGGTACCCGGGCCTGGAATGTCTTCAGTTTACCCTCCTCTTCGCCAAGTATCAGACCACTGAAGTCTGTCGAGATCTGCTTTATCAGTCACCAATGCCAGCAGACTGAAACTGTCTCTCCTACTGAGCCAGGACCTTCCTATGAAGTGACAATCCTACCACTGTCCTGTCAGAGTCCTCCTGTCTCCTTTTCCTGCCATAATCCCTGTGAACTTGTACCCTCATCACCTCTCACCGAGCAGATGCTCCACTTACATCTCCTCAGGATTTGCCTATTCAAAATGTGACTTCTCGGGGGTGGGGGGTGGGGAATGTGGTTTTCCAATATCTGAGGGCTTTCCTTAAATAGTTTTGTGTAAATATGTATGAAAGCTGTGGATTTCATTGACTTAGTGGCTTTATTGAATGTATCAACAACAAATATTTCACCTGCTGTGAGCTGAATGCCTATGAACAAACTCTGCCACAGTCTATCAGTAACAGAACACACACTCAGTGTGAACAGCCACTTTCAGAGGCACTGCTCACATTTTTAATCACAGGAGCTTTTTTTTTCCCTTAATTGTAAGAAGTCACACTTTGAGCTAATATTCTTTGTAGCACTATCTAAAACGTGTAACAGCTATGTATAGATGGATCAAGACGCCACGTGGAACCATAATTCAGAGGGAGAGGCCTGGTGGTGGGAAGGATATTTAAGACAGTCTTTTTTTTTTTTTTTTTTTTTTTTTTTTTTTTTTATTTCTTACCCCAGAACAAACCCTGATCATGGACTAATAGTCAGTTAGCCAGCAGCCATGGCTAATTGTTGATGCTGAGTCTAGAAGTCATTCACTTTGGAGATCACTCCAGAGATGTACTGACTTCACAGTTCTAACAAAGCCTCCCCAAAATTTGTGCTTCAAAGTAAGATTTCATCATAGGTTCGACCACCTCAGCTCCCATTTCTGCCCCTGTGATGTGCTGTTAACACTGACTGCCACATGCCAGTGTTCAGGCTGGTGTCAGGCTGCAGTGGAAGAAGCCTGGCTCCCCAAGAGGCCTCGCTCACTGGCTTCAATAGCTGCTCTCCATTCAGAGGTTAGGCAGGTAGAAACAAGAGAGTATCTTATAGGGAGGCTGAGGAAGGGGTCAATGGAGTTCTGAAGCCTCCCCCCTGCTCTGGGTCCTCTGTGGTAGTTGCTCTATTCTGCTACATGTAAAAGCATGGGCAGAGAGCATGGCCATGTGCCAACAAAGCTGTATTTATCAGGCAGGCCATCTCCAGCCTGCTGGCTGCAGTTGGCTGTGGCATCCTAGATGATACCTCCAAATCCCCAGCCTCCCCAGACCCAGGGTTTGGTGCCTGTCCAGTCTCAGTTTGCCCTTCCCCGGGATACACTGTTTAATCTATTTACCTGTCTGTGACCCATGGCTTCTAGACGCCAGCACTGAACAGGTGTCTGGAGAGCTCAGGAGAGTGTGTAGTGGACAGCAGTGTTTGCAGCAGGCAAACCTCCCTGAGCATTCCCAGCCTCATGGCAGAAAGCTCCAGAGCTCACAGATGTAAAGAGATCTTTGCTGATGACAAACATGAACGGAGTGAACTGTCTGGTTTACAGCTCCATTCCTTGTTTAGATGCAAGCCCATGGGTCGTTTCTGACGTCAGGGCTGGACCCCAGAAAGGAGTGCGTTGGAACAAATGCCTGCAGACAGGCTGCTCTGCTCCAGGAGCCCCTCCCCAGCCTGGAGCCATCCCCTCGGCTTCAGCCTTCTTTGGGGAGGAGGAAAAGCACTGCAGCCAGCCAGAGGGACAAGATGCTTTATTATTGGAAAATCTAAGAGTCTCTTAGGCCTGTGCAGCACCATTAGTTGACGTCAATGGCTCAGGGGATCCAAGCTCTGCATTTCCACTCTTCTCAGAACAGCAACTGATTCATGGCAGCAAAGGGGTTTCTATTTAGAGCTGCAGAAAAGAAGAGGCGGCCTCTGGCTCCTGTGTCCTAGTATCCTGTGCTAACAGCCTATCCACACCCCATGGGCAGCAGGGAGGGTTCAGAGGAGGCTGGGACTGAGACACCCTACTTCAAGCTAACTAACAGCCCCAGACCTACTATGTGCCCAGTAAGTAAGCACACAAAGCCTGATGACTCTGCTAGACAGGGCCGGGCAATTTAGCATACAGACAACTATGACAATGGGGGAGGGCTCAAAGTAAAGGGGCTTTGGGGGTCTGGGGAAAAAAGTGCTAACTTATGCTTCTTGGGCTGGACTGTGAAGGACCAGCAGGACTTGGGCATGTGGCGGTACAGGGACTGGTGACAAAGACACTGGAGGTTCCCTTCATTAAAGGGAAAGATGGAAATGAGGGGAGTAAGGGGATCCAAAGTGAGGTGCCTGGCTTCCAGCTCCATTCCTTATTAAAATGCAAGCCCAGGAGCTGATCTTGATGTCAGTCCTGGACCCCAGAAAGCAGTGCCACAGAACCCAGCCTGGAGCCGTGGCCAGGCTTCAGCTGGGGGACAGCATGCTTGATTTCAGTCGCAGCTGTACTTGCTTAATTTCGGGCATGAGAACGAATAAGGCTAAGTTAGTCTGTCCTCTTCTGTGGAGCCACTGCCTGGAAGTGGTGGTTTGTACCACTTATATACAGAACTCAGTCTCTAAACAGACATCAGGATTCCTTGTCCCTCTGCATCTGCCTATGCCACCTCTCATGCAGACCTCATTCTTCTTTCTGGGTCTCAACGTGGCTGTTTGATTTTTTTTTCCCCTATGAAAGTCCATCCCCTTCCTTTCCTTTGTCTCCAAGGTCTTGCCTCTCTGCGTGACTCTGTGGTATTAAGAGAAATTTCCTGATCCTAGATTAAATTCTCAGTGGTGAAGGAAGCATTTTAGGTTGGACTCAGTCTTATAAATAAGCATATGACCAAGGATACTTTTGACATCTGGAGGCTCTGTGAGGCTCGCTAGGCCCAGCATTTCTGCTCTGCTGAAACTCGCCTCTCTTGGAGGAGCGTGGTGGGGCGTGTGGGAGCCGGGGGGGGGTGGTGGTTCCTGCCCCACTCTCTCAGTCCAGTTCCTCACCTGGACAGGACACACCTCATCCTGCCCTTCATAGACCCCACTATGTGTGACAAGGATGGATTATGCTTCAAGCGTCTTTGCAAGCCCTAAGAGACACTGTCCGTTTAAAAAAATCTTCATCAAAGTCAAAGGTCATATTTCACATTTCAAAAGTCACTCATTCATAATTATGTTTATTGCATATGTTTTTATCCACAAATTATAAAGTATGAGATGAAAATCTACAGGGTCAAATAGTAAAACTATAAATCACATAAAACACCGCAAACACCCATTGTATATTACAAAACTACCTTAGAAATTCTTAAATCTAGCAACTTGTGAAGATTCTGTTACTTCGGAAGCAAGCCTTCAAAATGAATTGCTCTATATGATGCAATGGTAAGAAAAAAAACAGTACTAATTTGGAATGATTCTTATTTTGGATATGAGCTGGAGGACTGAAATGCTCAAATGGATATATACTTTTCTTCTGCTTAAGAAATTGAGATGGGAAATTGAGGCTTTTTGCTTGTTTGTTTGATGTTTGTTTTGGTTTGGTTGTTTTGGTTTCACGTATTAGCCTGGACACAACCACGAGACACAGCATGACTGAGGCACATCCCAATAAGTAAGATAGGCTTGCAGGAGAACTGAAACAATATCTGCCAGAGGTGCCCAATCTTCCCATAAGCCTTTTTAGCTGGCAGCTACAGTAAGATATGGAGAGAAGACAAGCGAGAACAGTGGTGAGAATGCAACACGGCCAAGCTGACAAGGCGGTGGCGAAGCTGAATACTGTACCTGCTTATTATTGTCAGTGGTACAACACAGCTTCTTGAGGGAGACAAAATGCCTAATTTTCCTAATAACATAAACAATCAGCGATTAGTGAGTCAGATAGGCGAGGATTCAACAAGTCAACACATGAAAACAGAATCTTCTTAAAGTCAAACTCCCGGGCTCTTCCTAGGGCAGATTTAGCTACAGAAAACTCACTTTCCTCCTTGCGATCCTGGCTGCTACTGCTACACTTTCCTAATGGGCCTTTCATTTTGCAACCACCTCCTGAAATCTGGATCCTAGATATCTTCAGAGAGAGGTTGAAGTGCTACCGGAGATAAATTGGCTTTCATTCCACCACCACAAAGACTTCACTGCTTATATGAAAAGCAAAAGACTCATTTGTGCATTGATTAAATTTCATCAGTTGCTGTGTTTGTATTAAGCTTCCCATATTCTTGCACACTGTGATCCTCATAGAGATGACGTTCTCTTAATTCTAGGTCAAGGGCTGAATTCTGAGACTTAGCCTGTGGTTTTACTTATTACCACAAGGGAAACTGAGCAAAAGATGTCAGATGCTCCAGCCCTGTGCAAAAGTCAGCTCAAGGTAGATTTCCTCCTGGGCGTAAAGTTATGAACTGAATAACATGTAAGACTGTACCCCCAGAAGCCCTTGGGGCACCTCTCCCTCCCCATCTCTGCCTCTTGTCACTCTTTTTCTTCCTGGTTTACTTTACCCTGGAGGGTTCTCTGAAGAGAACATAGAAAATTACTGGTGAGTCTATAATGAATATCACTCAAGCAGGAAGGGGTAAAATTTCCCTATTTTTAATCAGAATTGCTTCTGAGAGCTCACTGCCTACAATTAGGGGAAATAACACTGGAAATCGTGTCTGGATAAAAGAACTTATTTCTCTTATCTGTCAAATCAGAAAAATGTATTCTGACAGAAATTACCAGGCAATAGCACGTGTCTTCTGCTTTGGTTACCCACTGATTCTAGTCACACACGCAATTTTCCAAGAAGACAGTCTAAGGATGACTTTAAGGACAATGTGACAGCTTCGGGCACTGCCTTCTTCCTGTGGCTCTGCACTGGCTACTGGTGGACTGGCCAAGCTGAGGTGTTGTCTGTCAGGAAGGGGAGCAGCTTCTCCTAATGGTGGGTGACCCTTGGTTAGGAGCCTATCAGTGCCTACAACCCCTAGAGGCTAGCCAGAGGAGAGACACAAATTAAAAAATTCATGGAACACTAGACAGTGGCCTCTGAACTGACTGGAGAGCAATTTTTCTACCAATCCAGCAAGGAAAATAGAAAATAAACAACCCTCAAATAGATTGGTGATTATATGAAATGTCTGCTTCCTAAGCACATGATAATCTGAAAGGAACTTGGGCAGTTCTGAGAACCACACATGGGACTCCTGGTCCCAGGTATTGGTATGATAACTGTTATCTTGTCCCCTCCTCAAATGCCATACATCATGTATCCCTTACAAGGTCCAACCATCAAGTAGTGTTGACCTTCATTTTGGTTCACAAGGGTCACCAGGGAGATACTGCTAGGGGCTCCATCTGGCCTTGTGGGCCTTCATTCAAAATTTAACTAAGGGAAGAAAAGGAATCATGTTTTCCTTATTTCTCCACCAAGAGCCACTCCCCACATGCCTCTCTAATCAGATACCCCTGGCTCCTGGTCAGAACCCTTCTGTTACAGGTTGGTGCCCTCTATGGCTCTCTGAGCTCTTGCAGAACAAGCCCAGAGTCAGCCTGGAGCAAACCAGTGGCCTCAAATAAAGCAAGCTGACACCCAGTAGGCTGAGGGCAGAGGCTGGAAGCCAGGACTGGAGATCACTTGTCAAAGGGAGATACAGCCTGGACTTGAGCCTCTCAGAGATGCTAAGAACCAGGGGCCGATGCATGACTGAGTGTAGGTAGGCATATTTGGGGAGTGGGGCTGATGCTCCATGAAAGACCATGAACAGGAGACTGGGAAGGGAAACCATGTCTGGGGGTTGCTGCTAGCCAGGTGGAGGCAAGTAAAACATGGCACACCGTACTGCCTGTGTAGATCTAAGGCTTAGAATTATATCTCAGTGTGGCAGCCTAATGCCCATGAGGGCCTGAGTCCATATCTGCAGCTGAAAGAGTGGAAGAGTTCGCTCTCACCCTCCTTGGCCAATCACTGGGGTGATCTTCACGTGCTGTTGGATGCTGTCCCCGGATTTCCGTCTGGCATAGTAAACCCCCTGCCACTCCTACATGGACAAAGAGAGCTCTTAAGATCCTTCAGTTGAGGCCACAGCTGCTCCCACACTGGGTCTTCACAGGCTGAGTTAGAACCTTCCCACAGACTTTCATTACATTTCACAAAACTGCTGTATAGTTGTACCTAGTGTGATGCTAACATAGTCACAGGGCATATATGTAAGACAACCAAGCCAATGTGTCTATTGTCAGGTTGCCTGACCTGGGTTCCAGAACACCTGACTACCAGCTGGAATTCCCTTTTCAGTCCTCTGAATGCCATGGCACCAGATTTGAGAAGCCACTCTCAAAACCTTCACAACAACCCGTGAGCCTGATATCCCCAACCTTAATTTACAGATGGGCAAACTGAGGCTCAGAGACTCCAGCTACCTTGTCCATACTGTGAAGCAAAGGATGTACTTATGATTTTCTGTTTCCTTAACTCTTCCTGAAGCACCCCAGCTTCCAAGAGGCCTCCCAGCCAAGGCTTCTTGGGAGTTACTATGGCTCCTTGGCTTTCCACAGATGATGGCAAGGGGGAAGTGGAGATTCCTGCTGCCTTGGAATCCTGAGGCTCAGGGCCGGAATAAAGAGCCAGGTGGCCTCAGAGTAGGGGACCCTGAGGTACCTACCCTGTTTCTGGAAGGGAGTGGATAACTCAGAAGTCTAGGTTCTCTGCAACCATATCTCGCCCTCTGTCTCATATATGATGTGGATGAAGAGTGTACCCTTTGGGGCTGCCACATATTGCTGGTGTCTTTTGTCAAAAAAAAATTGTGGGGTGGGGGAGTAGTTTATAACAACTTGTTTCCTTTTCAAGTCTTCTGGTTCCACTAAAAAAATGGACATCTTTATAATAAAAGTTTATTTCTCCCTATAAATATTCCCCTTTCCAATTAATACAATGATTAACTACTGTGCAGCAGAGAAAGGAAAATGGAAGCAAAAACGTGTGAGGAAGCATTAAGAATGCTTAGGAGGAAGCACACAGGCCATTCCAGCTCTGAGGGCAAAGGTTCCCCTGGAGGAGACAACGGGTTACTTAGGACATTTCTCTTGCACCTCCACTGTGCCTTCATCTCTTCAGAAGAAGCAGAGAGCACTGGGGGTCGGGGGCAGGAGAAGAGAGCTACCCATGGATATGGACAGCCATGATGAAGAGAAATCTGAAGATACTTGACCAAATAAACAGAGCCCACCACGCAGTATGGATTAAGTCCTCCTAGCACTCCTGCCCTGGCCCTAAACACTGACAAAATGAATATTGTACAGCAGCTATCTGGGGTAGAGCCCTGCACAGAGACACAACATGGCAGCAACGACAGGTGGGACATGATCACGCAGTGGGCAAGTGTCCTTCCATAAAACCATCAACTCCTGTGTCATCCTGTTGGGATCTAAAATTAACCTATCGACTCTTTTTATAAACATCAAAAATTTTTCACTAAAGCATGATGTTATTAAATAAGCTGATTTTAAGGAAGGACACCAAAACTTCCAGGAACAAAAGCATTGAGGGAGGGGTATACAGGTGGGTTTGTCAGTTCCACCCACCTTTCCCTTCTTGATGCACGTATTGATGGTGTCCAGGAGGTCTGCCCGGTTCTTGTCGCTCTTAGGTAGGTCGGCAAGTTCTTTCCCCAGAAGTTCCCCTTTGTGGTAGCCCATCATCCTCTCAAAGGCAGGATTGACATACTGTGAGCAGGAGGGGTTACAGATCAGAGTGCCCCGCAGAGAGACTGTGGGGACACAGGAGCACAGAGCAACAGCTCCCCAGGACAATGTTCTCTAACACAGGTGTCACCAGGCTCCGCCTTCCTCATCCCACTGGGACAACAGCCCCACGTGTATTACAATGTATCCATGCACTTTATTCTCACCCTGTCCTCAGTGAGAAACTGAAAGAAACTTCAGCAAGAAAAGAATAAAATGAGCAGGAAGTCCACCTCTGGTGGACCTTATTCACTCTCTGTCGCTGTATGAAGTAAGAAAAACTCAAGGAAACAGAAACAGGAATACAGCTGGGGTTGTAGCTCAGCGGTAGAGCATTTGCCTAGCTTGTGTGAGGGCCTGAGTAGGATTCCCAGCACCACTAAATAAGGCTCGGTGGTAGAGTGTTTGCCTGGCTTGTGTGAGGCCCTGAGTAGGATTCCCAGCACCACTAAATAACAAAGAAGCAAACGAACACTCATGTCAATAGATCACAGCTTCTGTTAGTCACACTTGTGCAAGGCAGCTATCTGATCTCATGTGTCTTTTCACTTGCCCTGACCTATTAATCAATATTATGATTGGGACCACTTTGACCTAAAGTGATTAATAAATGCAGTTAACCCATGTGGACATGCCTCAGCCCTTCAGAGACGGGTGAAGGATAGACAATGAGGGAGGATGCCCGCAGGGAACTGGGAGATCAGCAGATTCAGAGGGGTTTTTTTTCACAAAATTCTGCAGGGCAGGAAGTCCTGGAAATTGTAGCTATTGCCTTCTCTGATTCCAGTTCTTGTCTTCCCCCACCAATCTCTTTTTCTTTTTTCTTTATTATTTTTATTTGATGTGTATGAGTGTAATACCTGCGTGTTAGGTGCAACCATGTCATGCAATGCTCACGGAGGTCAGAAGAGGGTGTCGGAACCCCTGGAACTGGACTTACAGACGGTTGTTAGCCACCGTGTGGGTGCTGGGAACTCAACCCAGGTCCTCTGTAAGAGCAGCCAATGCTCTAAACCACTGAGCCATCTCTCCAGCTCCTTAATTTCTTTTTAAAGAATGCTGTCATCAGGTGAGTAGCTGAGAGAAGGGACCAAGTGGTGCAAAATGTGGGGGAAATGTGAGCATGCTGCACCTGGGTCACCAGTTTCTTTGAGCAAAATGTCCATCTTCTGCCTCAGAAACATTCTCTCAAACTCTACTCACTCTCCTCCTTAGCTGGGGTGCTCTGTCAGACTTGGTGATGCAGGGACACTGGGGAGCTAGTCCCTTTTGAGCAAAGTTTCTATGTGCACAGTCATCCCTAGGAGCTGAAGAGATTCTGGCTCTCAGGCCCTAAGGAAGTAGCTGAAGGAAGAGAGAGTCCTGACACCATCCTTACGATCCCCAGATCCCTCCCAGTCCGGCACTTCCATGGGCCATCCCTGGGCATGGGAGGCTATCACTTCCAGCATGGCGGGGCTGCCAGCACATCTCCCTCTGAGTCTTTCCATACATGCTCTGTCTGCTTAGACAGCCCTCCCTCATTTCTGCCTCACTAACTCCAATGCATCTCTCTCCCCTCCAGAAAGCTTTCCTTGACCTCTACCCAGTCTGAATTGGTGCCATTCCTAAGAGCTCCCATATACTTCTGTGCAGAAAATTCTAATGAATTCTAATGAATTACAGTTCTATTTTTTCTCTTTCATAGGACACTGGAAATCTTGAGGGCACAGATTGTTTTGTAGATATCCTTGGATACACACTATATAGTAAACATCCTAGGAGTAAATAGGTACCTAGAGACTCTATCATTTTGCTGATCTGTTGGCTGTCTGCTGCATTTTCACGTGGGGTTGATTTCCCCATTCTGTAAATACGAGTAATAGTTATGGCTCTTTTTAAGGTCAGGGATCCTAGAACCTCAGAATCCAGCAGGCTCAGAGACATGACTTCAGAGCAAAGGCACCTAAGCTCAAATCCTGACTCCGCCAACTGCTAGCTACATAACTGCTGGAAAATGACCCCGGTTCTCTGCTCTTCTGGTTTTTTTTTTGTTGTTGTTGTTGTTGTTGTTTTTTCTTGCCTGTAAGACAGCTACAATGCTACTTCTACCTGGCTCCCAGGATTGCTTGAAGGGGTTAGTGAGTGGTGTAACATGCTAACTGTGCCTGGCATATGGGAAGCCCACACAAGTGTTTTCAGAGCAAATACAGAGAGATAGTTTAGGTAGATGGAGACATAGAGGGGGCAAGGACAGGCATATTGATAGATAAGATGCTGCTCCTAAAATTTAAGTGTGCCACCTAGGCTCTAAGGGCTGGACCTATACAGACACATGGCTATTCTGTTCAAGTGTCCCAAGGACACTGGTGCCAAGTAAGAGCATATATAAAATATCCTGTCCATGATGGTCACCCTGAAATCTCTAGGCCAAGGTCATATGATTATCCCCTTCCACATAATATCCTCTGTTCCACCTCTCCCTCTTTCCTCTTGCTGGCACATCTTATTCCAGAATCCAAGTTTCCCTTTCAATGTAGCAACTTCTCCTCTGGGCAACAACTGTCCTCACACCCATTTCTTTCTATCCAAGGAAGAGGCTTGGGGTAGTGATTTATGCCATGTGACCCCATCACCACATTACTCTTCCCAGGGATTCAGGTTTGCTAACTGCCAATTGCTGGCCACAAGATAAAGGACTCAGTTCCTGCTCAAGGTGGAGAGAGCATGGAGAGGGCAGGGTCTCTCCTTGTTGGTACTCAAATCACAACCCAGCCTCCCACTGTGCCTTATGAGAACTGAAGGCTCACGTCTGCATGTAGCATGGGGCTTGTGTCTGGCTTTCTATGTGATTTAAGAGGCAGAGCAGCAGGCAGAAGGACCAGAAAAAACCAGCAATATTTGGCAGCCTTCAGTTCCACTTCAAGGGACAGTAAGTAAAACAAATTCTAAATTATAGCACCAAATGGAGCCAGGCAGGAAGGCTTGGGAGTTCAAAACACATAGCTACATATTTCCATTTCTGTGCTTACTGCTGGGCCTTTCCTTGAATAAGTTCCTTGACTCTGCTGGGCAGCAATGCCTTTCATAGGATACATAATAAGTGAGATAACCTAAAGAAAGTGCCTGTAATGGAGAAGTGTGGTGGGCTAGTGATGTCACCAACTGGTAACAAGAGCAAGGCTTGTCTGTGTGTACACTGGGGACATCAGAGGTACAAAGACAGGCTCATGCTGTGGGGGCCAGTGGTGTGCTGGTCACTGTCCGTCCTGCTCCATTAATGAAATCAAGCACTCTTCAGTGACACTGTACATCAGCTGAGCCGTATACTTCAGAGTATTCTTTAAGGGCAAATAAAGGTTTGCCTATGAACACATTTCTTCAGAAAGATGACATTAGATAGGGATGCCCTGTAGTAGAATACCAACTGTAGGCAATAAATATTTTTGAAATATTCTATTCTGATAGACTTTTATAAGCATTTGCTCTACAATTCTGCTTTACTTCTGCATAAATACTATCTTTACAGATGGTCCAAAGATATTCCCCCCACCTCTATCAAAGAAATAACAAGTACTGATTGGAATTAATAGTCTGTACTCCTCTTTGAATATTTATTCTTAAGTCTCTCTGTATTCTTTGCATATTTTTATTTTTCTTTCTTCAAAGAAAATATGATAATATGTGAGAATGATGGAAAAGTATTTGAAAAAAAAGGGCGGCAAGAGCTTGAAAGGTTCTACTTTGATGCTAATGATGTGGAGCATTTCTTCCCATACCTGAATCACGTGGTCATCACTTGTTATTTCTATGGCTTCGTGACAGTGGTCTAATGCTGTAAACACTGAATTGCAGGCCCTGAAAGATACACAAGATTAGTGTTATTTCTAGTAAAAAAAAAATAAGTTTATTTGAACTTTATTAACTTAGCAAAGTAAACAGATTTGAGATTCACCAGCAGCATGTTTTCTGTAATTGCTATAGTTTGATTGTTAGTATCTCCTCAGATTCCTACATTTCAATAAAATGCCCAATGTGGTAGTACCAAGAAGGAAGCAACTGGACCATGGGAGCTCTACTCTCACAAATAAGATTAATGCTCTTAATTATAGGCCCAACTGAGCTCCCTTGTTTCTTTTACCATATAAAGACACAGGAAGATTCTACCTATGAGGAACATGTTCTCACGAGACACGGAATCCGCCACTTCCCAGCCTCCAGAACTGAGCAATAATTGTTTGATGTTTATAAATTGAGATAGGTTGTTAGACGCCCAGACTAAGACAGTTAACATTATGCTCTGAATAAACAAAATAATCTTTCAAACTACTTGCACAAACAGCAGGAGATGACACAGACACAGACACAAACACACACACACACACACACACACACACACACTACAGTTCAAATTAGGTAGGCCATACCAAATTTGAGTGACATGCACTGAATGAAACTTCAGCACTGACACAAGATAACAAGACTTTCTGGTAAATCCCTTGTGCTCTGTGTCAGTAAAGTTCTATTTCCTTCATAGTCATGGTCAAGGTCAAGTCCCCATCAAGACCCTAACCCAGCCCAACCTGGCCCTGAGGTATTCCGGCCTTTTACAACAGACACAGAAACATTTGTTTTCTTTTTTCTTACATCTGTGATGCTACCTTACTTCCAATAATGACCACTGGTCTGAAGACAGGCAGACATGGCAGGCAGAAATCCCCCTGCCCACCTCTTTGCACATGTAAAGCCTTCTACATGCTCTCTTCTTGCAACCTCCCCTGTATAGCTGGAGTATTTGAAGCCAAATGCCAGTTGTGGTTATGATTCTAACTAACTTACAAACCTAAAGCGACGCCAAATACAGTAAGTTATTTACTATCCAGCACAGCAAGCATGCAGCTAGAGTTCTGCTATTTATGCTGTCTACAGGATCCCCGGGAAGGCTTTCTTACACAGTACAAAGAGAAAAACAAAAAGAAAGCAAAACATTGATTTGTGGGATAGATATTTCTTCCTGTAAAGCAAACTCTTTTCATGCTATTTTTTTCCACCCATCAAGGGAATGTAATTTGCTGCTGTTTTGACTTGTCTGTTAGGAAAAAAGGCAGAGAAGCACAGGGTAATACCCCACTGTATTTTTCCAGTTACAGAAATTGGGGCAACTTTTGGCCTTTGTCCTTGGTTTCCCCATCTAGAGAATGATTATAAGAATATATATTTCATGGGGCTTTGTCAGGAGGATGATCAGGAGGATGGACAACTTATATAGGCATCTCTCAAAATGCCTGGACGATACTGTGGAAGAATCCAACATGTGGTGGCTGTGACTATTTGTAAGATCATAGACTAATGATTCTTTTTTTTCTCTAAGGCTTACAAAGTCTTTAGTGAAAGGAAAAATAAACTGCGACCTATCTTTTCTCCTAAGTCTATCTGAAATGTCAAACCAAGAATGTTACTCAGTAACAGCAAGGTAACTGGCCTGCAGGTGGCGGGAAGGACTTCAACACCCTGAAGGATGGTGTTTCCTTCTATGGCTGCAGAGATGAGGCTGTCTGCATGAGGGCAGGTAAAACAAGCACCGACACCTCTGGTGAGCAGGGGAGAGGACAGAACTAGCCTCCACAGACAGACCTGAGCCTTCCAGGCCATTTCTTCCTTTCAATTGCCCCCAACCAATTAATTTGAACTGTATACTGTCCAATTACCATCTCTGTGTTTATAAATACGTTATATCAAATAAAAAATAAAAAAAGATGTTAAGATTGTCACTAACATCATCACTGCACTGCCTCTTGAGAGGTAAGCAAGAGCCAAGCTTATCAGAAGTGTTTTCCAGACACCTGGTCTAGACTGAGCTCAGTTCCATAGGAAAGTAGTTCTGGGCACAAACTGCCTTGCAGAAGTGATATGTGGAGAAGCACACTCTATGTGGGATAATTTGTCAACTCTGAGAGCTGGGTAATTAGGTTCTAATTAACACGTTTTGTCAGATTCCTCTCTTGCATAAGTGTTTTCTGTAAGGTGCCTGCATGTCTCAACTAAGTGTACAAACAAATACTTCAGACGGTATCATTTTGTCTATTCAAATGGTGGCTCTTATATAAATTCTCAGATCATGGCATTAGATTGAGCTATTAAATATTCATTTCTGATTATCCACAAGCATAAACTCTTCAATAGATATGCCCAACAGGACAGACCAAATCCTTACACTGACAGTTGACATGAAAGGATCCTGGAAGGAACAGGAACGGCACAGTATTCCCTTCCTACCCTCTCCCGACAGGCATAACTGGCTGTGATGTTTATTTGGGCTTTTCAACCTCTTTGGGTTGATGGTTCTATTTAAATAAACCTGCAGCAAAATGGGATAATCGATTTGAGTCATGCTCCTAGAATTTGGGGACCTAATTGCTTGTATTAATTATTCATACTCTTCAGGCAGAACTGTAACCTTATTAATTTTCTATTCTTGGGAACCACTAACTGCATCTCAGATATCTTTATTTTTTTAATCCTTAAGCTTAGAAGTTAGAAAATAGCAGGAAAGAAGAAACATAAGGGAAAGAAAGATAATATGGGTAACACGGGTGATAGTCTGTTTCTTCAGTGCCTTCTTAATGGTTGTGAAGGTTCAGAGGGAAAAGGCAGCTACCACAGGGGTCCAGGCAGAAAGCCTGCAAAAAGCATATGGCTACAATGGTGCAAAGCGCAGCAGGTGGAAAAGCAGGATTCTCTACTGCTGCCACCAATGTGGTAGGCAGCTCTGTGGTCATGTTGTGGAGAGCACCCTGCCTCTCACTGTTTTCCTCTAGATTGTGGCTGGGATGGACATGTAATGCCCAGCATCTATTAGAAAGTTACTTGATTCTACCCAAACACAGAACACACACACACACACACAGAGAGAGAGAGAGAGAGAGAGAGAGAGAGAGAGAGAGAGAGAGAGAAGCGCTTTAATCAAGGGTAGGGCTATAATGATAACTTTTAAGGGGAAGATTCTCAACCTAAGTCTACACGCAAATAGATGCTCGGAATTGGCAGGGCAGACTGTGGACCAGACAAGGGGATCTTGGGCTTGCTGCTTGGTGGCAGCTGTTCCTCAGCAAGGATGCAGCAGTGCTGATTATTTTAAGTGTTCACAGCTCTGTGTCCACTCCTGCACCATAGTGACTGCCACACAGAACACATTGAAGATAAAAGCTCTACAAATGTATTCATACTGAGCGATGTAGTGTTCCACAAAGTAGAGTTTTGGCCATGAGAAGCTTTGAGCATTTCTAAAATTGAAGACCGCTACTGTCTTAAGATTTGCAGTAAAACAACGTTTTCAGTGTAACTCCTAGATTAACTGATGGTTGAAAGAAACACTGGAGGTGCATTAGTACAAACTGCTCAGCTGAAATTCCCAGTAAGGTGCTAAATCACTGTCTTCATCTTAGATATAACAGATTTTTTTCAAGATAAAGAGGCTCAAGAACATTAGAAAAGATAAATGGTCACCATTTAGTCTTGGATCATCCGTAACACTCTGCAATTCATGAACTCTGCTCAGCAGAGAAATTCACCAAATATACACAGAAACAGGATCAGGGCTTACGTCCTTAAAATGTTATTCTACAGAGGAATCTGAAAACCAAATCCCATCTTTTGCTCAATCAGATCAGACCTGAATGATTTATATTTTTGTTTTGTTTTGTTAAGTACAGGTGGTTACCGTAGACAAAGTGTCCACTTTTAACATTTGGCAGCATCCTGCAGTACAGACTGTGTCCTTACAGAATGACAGTCATGTTACATATTTAGCTGCAGCTGGGGGTGGAATTGTAGGGGAAAGCATTACATAATTAGACTACAATTATTCTGGCATTGTATAATAAAGAGTTCATTTCTCAGTCTTTAACAAATGACATAGTTGCTTGTCTGCCATGGGATACAGGTAGGTCCTCTAGATGTCCCTGAATACTCTAAAGAGCTGGAGCAAGGTCACTGTATTACTGTCCCCATGTCTGCTGGGCCCAAATTTTGCAGGCCTGGAGAGATTCAAACCATGTATATGCACACATCCCCAAAAGGGAGTGAAGTCAAGTAAGATTGGGGAACCTGCAAAAAGCCAACAGTGTCAGCAGGTGGAGAAGCAACAAGGAGCTAAGGGTGAGGCAGGCCCTACTTCTCAGGTCACTGCTTCCTGGATCAATGCACTCATCAGCTTCACACTGACTGACATGAAACCTAAGCCTTTCCATTATGACCCTAGCAATGGGTTGAATGCCTCCAATCAGTCACAGGCAGGGAGAGAATGGAAAGTAGCACTAACACAGTATGAGAATCCTGGAAACATGCAGCTGTGAATCCCGTGAGACTACAAGAAGCCTTCAGCACCTGAGATTAAGGAGCTCTCTCTCAGGAGCACATGAACCTGAGGACTAGGCTGCCACGAGTGTTCATTTCAAATTGTCAGGCTTGCTTGCGTCCTGCTCACAATGGTCGAAGAGCCCTGAACTTCCCCATGGAAGACTCCAGTGCCCAATGTTTACTGTAGAGTCTGCACCAGGGCACCATCTATAATGGACCATCAAGTGCATTGTTGCCTAAGGAAACAGAAGCACCGATTCAAGCCTCATGTGGGAGCTACTCCTCACAGCAATCAAGTGTTGGGTTCTCTGTTTTTTATTCTAAGCAATAAACAAAGAATTAAACCACAATGAACTCTCTCTTTTCTATTTTTATTTAATTGCAAAAACACCTGAAACAAAAGTACTAAGTTGTTTTACCCTCAATTAAGGTTGACAGAGGTTCCCAGGGATACACTTACTGTACATTACTAAAAACAATAATTACTGAAGCAAAGAGGTTGCTTCCTAGAAAACTTTTATGAAGTTCTCCGAAGCAAATAAACATGGAAATACAAAGAAACTAAGGGACTTAACTTACTTAAACATTCACAATGTCTTTGGTGCTATTTCCAAAAGCTTTGAAATATCCAAATTCCTCAAATACCAGAATTCTCATGGGTATGACATTCTTCAAAATTTTTAAACATGTATTTATTACAGCTGGTTATATGTATGCGTGTGTGCGCGCATTGTGTGTGTGTGTGTGTGTGTGTATCAGAGAGAAAGAGAGGGGAAGGGTTACTGGAGCAGGTTAAAGTGATGGCAGGGGTCAGAAGATGATTTGTGGGAATCTTCTGCTCCTGCCACCACATGGGTTCCAGAGATTTCACTCAGCTTGGATTCAGCTTAGACTTGGATTTGAACTTCATTTTAATGACCACTGACATTCTAGAAAAAAATACTTTTCCATCTAATAAAATGACTGCTTACTCTGATGTTTCATTTCTTATAGTTCCCTAAATTACCAAAAAGTACCTACCCAGACCAGAGGGGCCTGCTCTGATGGTTTATGACAATGCATCCTGCTTTCCGGGGACTGGGGGAAATTTAATTTTAAGAAACCATTTGTCATATTTGGATACAAAAATGAATGAAGATAAAAGTATGATCCTTGCTATTTTGGGGTTTGCACTTGGCATGAGGTATAACTTAGGTACCTCAGTTGACCAGAGAGAGACTTTCCTGAAGGCTGCCAGAAAGCTGCTAGAGACTGGTCCTTTCACAGGGTAGAGAGGGGACTTTTCCTATTCATGTTCTCTGGCTGGAAGAGGGAAGGTTGAAGAAACCAGGGGCATAAGAGCAAGTCAGAGCAGAGTCTGAACCAATCCGGAAAGGCTCTAGGGCCCGGGTAGCCCAAGACAGCATAGAAATAGAAGACAACAGCAAGAAAGCCTTACCCAGAGCCAAGGGCCAGTGAGAAACCTGTTCTTAAAGCACCACATACCTGCAAAGAGCCCTAAATTGGTTTTTAGAAGATACTTCATGCATGTTGAGGCCACAAACAGACTTCATGAAATTATTACTATTATTATTATTATTATTGTTAGCATAATAAACATGCCTATTGGTGTGCCTCCCTCTGTAACAACCCAACTAGGATTAAAAAGTTGGAAATCAGAAATAGAAAGGGCAAAAATTAAGCATGACTTTTCCCAGGTTATGATTTAAAAACTGCTCTAAATAGTGGAAGATACTGACAAAAGAAGACATATTTTCCATTTATTTCATCATGTCAAGAAACCCAGTTTATGACTGCTGCTGGCTGGCTGCCATTATCTGTTTAACAGCTTCAGAATCCCAGAGATCAGGTAAGAATCTGTGACCATCAGCCTGTTGACAGAGAAGACTTTCTAAAGAATCATAGCCTCACGGACAGTCTTCCTTTGTTACCTACCGTAATTTGAACTGTGAGCGAACTTCCCCATGTTCTATTTGAATCAGTTCATTATAGCAAGCAATTACGCTGCTATTCTCCATAAATCTCTGAAAAGAAAGCAAAGATAATACATAAGACATCTCGAATTATTTCTTAGAGTCAGACAGAGAAACTTAACAGTTGTTCCTACCCCCGGGTAGCTCTATTATGTAAGACATGTCTGAGGTAAGGTACGATGAAACAGAAAAGTTGTCAAGGTGTCTGAAATGCTTATTTGAATGTATGAGAAACAACAGAGCAGATAATACACTTGGCTCACTTTATAACAAAGGTGGGATAAACTTCATTATGAGGAATCACAGGAAAACAAACACAGGGGCACAGTGTGCCTCTCCAACTGTGGGAACTCCTGAAACACTCTGGCTGCATTTGCACTTCATATTGAACAATCACTTGTAAGTTCAGTCTGCAATACACTAACAGTTAACTCTTTTGGGGTTGAAGGGACTGTTCTTGGCTTCTTTTTCAGTCTTCTCGGTGCCCAAGGCAGAGCTCATTTAAGACATCAGTGAGCTTACCTGGACTCTACAGAAGGAAAAAAAAAAAAAAAAAAAAAAAAAAAACGCAAAGTTGGGTAGGTGAGAAGATGGGGGTGGGTGTGGGAAGAGTTGTGTGTGTGGGGAGAATATTGTATGAAATTCTCAAAAATTAATGAAAAATTTAAAATATACCCATGAGCTCAACAAAAGACAATCAATGAAGACATCGGGCAAAGGATTTGAGTAGCTATTACTCCAAGAAAATACCAAAATGGCCAGCAAATGTGAAAGATTTCCAACCTCATTAGACACCAAAGAAACACAAATTAAAAGCAGAGTAAGACACAGTTTCATAGCTACTAGGATATATAATTGAAAAGAAAAAGAAGAAAATAAGTGCTAGTAAGGATGTGGCAAATCAAAACCGTGTACATAGCTGACGGGGATCTGAAATGGTTTAGTCACTGTGGAAAGCAGTTTGTGGGTTCCTCAAAAAAATTAAACCCAGTAATTCCACTCCCAAGTATTTAACCAAAAGAACTGAAGAAATGGGTATCTCAAACAAATATTTCTAGTATCAGGTCCATACCACCTGTATTCACAATAGCTCAGAGATAAAAATAACCTACACAAACAGATGAATGGATTAATAAATTGTGGTACATGCATAAGATAGGATTTTATTCAGGCACAAGATAGGAATGAAATACTGATGTATGTTACAACATGCACAAGCCTCAAGATCATGAAGTGAGAGAAGATAGGTACAAAAAGCCATATACGGTATTATGCCATTTATATGAAATATCTGGATTAGGTCAACCTGACAGAGTGCAGACTGATGGTTACTGAGGCTTAGCAGGTGGGGCGGGGGTGGGGGGGACTGGGAGTGAATGCTTAAATGGGAACCTGGGGGTGAGGAAAATGCTTTAGAACTAGATAGAGGGGGTGGCTTTACAACATTGTGAATGTTCTAAATGCTACAGGATTGTTCACTTTAAGATGGTAAAATTTAGTTTCATTTCAATTAGGAAAAAAGGGCTTATATTAAAAAAAAAAAAAAAAAAACCTTGGTGGCTGAGTAAACAGATAACAAAACCAGAGCCAAGGAAAATGCAGTGTGATTCATCAGAGAACTGAGTACTTCAGGGGATGAAGCCCAATAATCCGAGTATTTTCTTTCTATTTTTCTTATATACTGCATTACTTGGTGAAGGGTATACAAGAAATGGAGCATTCTCTTATATGAACACATTAATACTTCATGAGAAATGAGGAGAAAAGAAATAAAATGAAGTAAAATACGGCAAAGGAATAGATTTAAGGACAATTCTACTTAGGAATGAGGAAAATGTCTTACATTTTAACTTATATGGTTGGCAAACTAACAAGTAAGAAAAGATAATTCCCAAATATTCCAAAGTACCCAGTTACATCTGTGCTTTTCTGATAGCTGGAGAGGCAGAGGGGAGAACACCAGACCCTGCTGGAAGGTCTGATTCTTAGACTTCCTTCAAGCAAGTTGGCAGAAGAAAGAGTTAGTTTCTCTGTCCTCTCTTGTCTCACACACACACATACACACACACACACACACTTCCACACATCTGGAGTAGATGGTCTCTCCCTGGGGAATATCTTCAAGGCCCTCTGACTTTCCCTTGGCCTCTGGGTCCCCACCAAACCAAGCAGAAGTCGGGAAAGGCTGAGAAAGAGGAGCAGCCAGAAACAGACACAGAAGAGAAATACTTTCTATTATTTACAAAGCAAAGTTAAACAAGATTAGGTTCAGCTTGAGTTTTTAGATGGGTAAAAACTGTATCTCAGTCAGTAACAGTTCTGAGGGGGTAGCAGATGCTGTGTAGAAACATAGAAAATATCTGTGATAAAAAGCAAGTTTTGATAACGTTGGGATGCATGGAGTTAGCAGGCTTCTCGACTCCAGGGGCTTTCAGAACATTCCACACACTAATGGACAGTGCTGTTAAGGCACATTGTGGGTTCACAGAGGGAAGAGGAGAATCCAGTCTTACTGACTCCCTAAACTTCTTTGATCACAGAGGCCTATTTTTATGGAACACATAGGAGATTGTGGTACACAAGTGCTCCAAGGCACACTTAGGGAAATACTACATTGTGGGAGAACCCAGGATAGAGTCAGGAGTGAGCATGCAGTTGCTTGCTGCTATTATGTGAGCACTTGCAAGCTATTCAGTAGTTTTGAGCCTGTTTCCTCCTCTGCAAAAATGGAGAAATATCAAATTTCTCATATGTTGAGAAAAATTAAGTAAATCATCTGTAACTGGGCCTGACAAATAAGAAACTGTAGCTCCCCCTTCCCACTCCAAGGAAGTCTCTCCAAGAAGAGCAGCAATGTGCCCAGCATGCCTCAAACACTGCCTTGCACATAGTCAGAGCCCCCGAAATACTTGTTGAGATGAATAAGCATTATTTCAGACTGAAAAAAAAGAGGCACTCGAAGGTTAATGTAGGAAGAGCTGCACTGGCTATGAAGTGCCTACAAAGCTCGGTGTGAGCTGAGCATCAGTACAATTAGCTGCATAGTCAGGTCTCCAAAGGCTTCAAAGGGAGTTGTTAGGGGATATTTGATGGCACAGTTTGTCCCTGGATACCCACTTAGGGACCACAGACCAAAGTGTTGGCCCATTTGCTAGCAACACAAAGCTGAATCTCAGCAAATGATTTAATATAATCAAAACAAGTCAGGGAAGGGAGACAGCCTCACAGAAGGCAAGAAAAGCTGGCCTATCTGGAACGTAGTTGGGTAGAGTTTCCAAAGACAAGCTCCTCTCCCAAAAAGGAAAATAGCCACCCAAAGATCTACCTCAGCTGATCCTGAGTCACAGTATACAGAGAAAGCCATCATAGATGCAGTGTGCTTCCCTTGGAGGAAGCCCTGGGGACTGGGCGTGCCCTCACCCAACTGGTAAATGGTTTTGATCAGATCAGGCCCAGCACTCAAAATTCTAGGTGATCCCTGATAAGGACTGATAAGGGTTCATTCACTGTGTGTGATACATCTAGACCTGGAGAAAGGAAACCTTCCAGAACAGCATGGACAGGTCATAAAACATGTAAAAGAAATCTGCAAACTTCTGTTTTCTTAAGAATATTTGTACCTGAAGACTGAACAATTATTTGTCCTGGGCTTTCTTGTCAACTGATGTGCAATCTCAGTACTCCAGTTAAGAAGCTATCCCTCCAAACAACATCAATCTCAAGAACAACTGGAGGAAAGATCATTGAACTAAAAGCAGAATTCCAAGGCCACTCATCAGATCCAAGTGGATCCTAATTGATAAAGCCAACTGTATCACAAGGCCATTCATCAGTCATCCTCCAGGTAACCAGGAATGCCAACCCTCAACCACCCTCAGAGTCCTGACTCACACTTGAAAAGTCAGTGTTGGGAGGGGGTGGAGTGGCAAGATCCATACGACACAGAAGACTGATAACTTGTGAGTAATTTTAGTTATTTTTCAGAAAATGAATGAGTAAAGAAAACAAATTGCAGCCCCATGGCTTATTCACCAACTGTCCCCTGGCAACTCTGCATTCCCAATCTCAGAAGCCTTCTTTTAGGTACCCATATTATATGCAGTAGGCAACCACTGCACATAAGGCAAGCTTTCCGAACTAAATGCCAACCATCATGAAAAGAGACGACAGACAGGAAAAAAGTGTTAGAAGAGTGTGGAATATTGCTAACTAGACATGTTCATTGCTGTTACACATTGTGAATCACCGCTGCCTTAAAGCTTTTATATAGCACTGCTCCTAGGTTGAAGCACACCAAAGTACAGAAACTGCTTCACAAAGGCAGCTTCTGCTCTACTGTGGTCTGCAGCCAAGAAGGATTTTCATTCTAAGCCCAGAATAGCAAAGTAACATTATTACCTAAAGCACCAAAGGGCTCCATAATCCACAAAGCATACCATGAAAGACTTTGTTTTTAGAGGGATATATCATAACATCTCTTTGAGATTCATATCATTCTTATATTCAAAAGATTTTGGGATGTGGGGTCAGCCCAGTTACTTATTTGTTGGTAAGCTTATTTAGCATAATAAAATATAATCTTAAAGTTGAATTATCAGTACTATACAAGCAATACCACTCCATTTGCTAATGTTTAATCCAAGAATTCATAGGATGCTAGTGATATTCACTTGAGTTTAGATTATCAGTAAAATTTTCATAAGCATAGATCACTACTCTATTTTTATCTAAAAGAAAGCAATTTGTTTGTTTTTTTTAAACATTTATTTATTTTATGTGTATATGTGTGTGCTTGGGTGTATGTGTGCACTACATGTGTGCAGATGCCCATGGAGGTCAGAACAGGGCATCAGATCCCATGGAACTGGAGCTATAGGTGGCTGTAAGTTGCCTGACGTGGGTGCTAAGAACTGAACCCAGATCTCTGCAAGAACAGCATGTGCTATTAACCATTGAGCCATCTCTGCAGCCCCCAATTTTTTTAAACAATGGAGATAAATTTATCATAGAAAAATTCAAACATAAAAAGGAAGGCCGGGTGTGCTGGCACACGCCTTTAATCCCAGCACTTGGGAGGCAGAGGCAGGCAGATCTCTGTGAGTTCGAGGCCAGCCTGGTCTCCATGGTGACTCCAGGACAGCTGGGGCTACAGGGAGACCCTGTCTCAAAAAGACCAAAAAAAATAAAATAAAATAAAATATTAAAAAAGGAAGGCCTCCATAAGTTTTCTACATGAACTTGTTTGTTTCAATATGATGACACACTCTTTTCTAAACATTCCATTTCTTTTTCCACTTTTTCTTCTTTACTTTAAATTAATTTCATTCTTTTCTTTCCATTTGCATTCACAAGGCTTTTTGCCTCCAATCAAATTTGTATCTTACCTAGTAAGACTAGATATTTAGTTTGTAGATATCTCCTTGCTTGGTGTAATTGATCTTAATCTTTAAGTTGAATGCCAATGTTTTTCATACAGTTGTCCCTCAAATCAAATAATTTCCTTTTCCTGGTGTTAAGCCAGGGTTCACAGGCTGGTGTAACCCGCATGGACATGTTCTTTGTGTATAAGCTGTGGGCAGGCTCCTGGTGAACACAGAGCCCTGTGTACCAGCATGGTGCACTTCTCTTTATATAAGCACACATACACAGTGACTCTGATGGGATAGACTGCTTTATTGGAGGTAACTGAGACTGTAGGAGTTTTGATCTGCTATAAAAGGTACTTTATGTTGTTGTGTATCTGCTGCTAAGCTATGCGAAGTTATGACAGCAAAAGGAAAATAACTGCTGAGCACTACTGCTCCATGCAAGCGCAGCTACTTTCATTTCTTGGCTCATGGTTCTAGGGCTCATCTCTTTTAATAGCTCTCATGGCTATATGCTTTGCTGTCAAAGGAAAGTCAATCTCTGTACCCGAGAGGCACGCATCTCCTTGTACGTACCCGGTTGAAGCCTGCATGGAGAAGAGGAAGAACTGAGGCCTCTTCATGGTCATCAGATCTGCAGCAAAGCAGAAAATGTGGTCACTCAGCAGATACAAACCAGGATTCCTCACACTGAAACATGGAGAGAGAGCAGTGAGGCTACAGGTAGCATTAGCTCCAAGAGGGGCTTCCTGACCAGCATGTGCCCAGCGAGCTCCTACATCTAGGGACAGAGACCCCACAGCTGTCTTCCAGATGCAAACAGAGCACAAGCAGTAGGGGAAGTGAGAACAGTGCCCCCTGGCAGAAGAGTGGCCCACTCTTAACTCTGAGCTGCCCCATGCATTGGGGCAGATGTCTGAGAGCCAGCCCATAAGGGGAATGTCAGGTATGCTGCTGGCCCTGAAGCTGCTACTCCCATCTGGAAGCACAACTCCCACCACTGGGCCCAATTCAAGGTGAGGCAAACACCTGCATTCCTGGTCACAGGACCTCACCACCAAAGAGGAAAGAAGTGTCGGCATAAAGGAAAACCCAGAAGGAAGGGGGAAACAATCAATCACTGTCACTCATTTCATGGGACAGTTTCCTATCCTGAGCCTGGGGCTGGGTCTTGAGTAAAAAGTGGGTTGGAGACCAGTATATCATGAAGATGTTTCAGCTCAACTGTCACCATCAAGAAACTGAAAGAGTGTCCCTAACAGACAGAAATTGGCATAGGGTAGACGCCCTGACAATTGGGGAAGAGAAACAGAAGAAAAGGAATTGGGTGGAAAAGCCATTAGAAAACAGACAAGAACCCCAGTGTTTATCTGTGGCGTTGCCCATAGCTACTTCCTGCCCTACAGAGAATTCTGTCTCCCTTACTCCCAAGTGCAGTGAAAGGAGGTTCTGCTTTCCATGAATGACAAATCATGAGGGGCATGAAAACAAAAATCCCAAAGTACTAATAATATTGTTTCTTAAACTGGATGGCACAGATACAGGCATTCCCTTACTATCTCTTTTATATGAAACAGAAAAAAAAAAAAAACAGAAAAGGCATAGTAAATTGCCACTTGTCAAGGATGCAAACATTTTTTTCTGCATGAGAAGGAAAGAAGACATTATGTTCTTGGGCTCATGGAATAAGATGGAATAAGGCAGGCTTGGAGAATGTTGTGTGTTGCGGTACCCTTTTGATGTCATGTCCAAGGCTGTAAGACCCTATTCAGATCTCAGAGTGCCCAAAAAATAAATGGAGGAAAGAGGACTGACCTCCTTCAGTTCCCCCAACTCATTATTTTTGGAATTCATCTTTCACCAGGATGGCAGGTGTCACGAATCAATGGAGACAGCTCTTCACCTTCTTTGGACCACAAGCCACGGGAAGTGTCAAGTGAAGAGACTCAAAAGTGCATCACTTCACTAGAAGGCTTTGGTCAGGGAAGGCCTCTGCAGCCATGGCTGCAGTATGGCTTCTGGGCCAGCCTGCCCCAGGAAGGCCTGTACTTTCTTATCAAAGCTGCTGACCTATTTACTCCTTTGTTGTAGAATCAGTGCCAAGTGCCCTAATAGAGCCGAGTCCAACAGGTCCTAGTCCTAATTAAGATCTTAGTCTCTCTGAAGCTAATGACAGTCATTAATAGACTACAATAAATTTCATTGCTGGCAAGGATTCCAACCATTGTAGTGTATACAAACAACTTCTTTCTTCCTGCTGGCTCTTTCAAATGTAGAACATGCACTACGATAAACCCAGTACAACAGTTTCTTGTCCCACAGTGTCACTATCTGTAGTTCGGTCCCCTTTTTCTGTCTAACACCAACCTAAGCCTTACTGTCCTGCCTTTAGCTGCACAGCAGTCCTCACACAAGCCCCCTTTCCTAGCAATGGATTTAGTGCCTCTGTGTCCTTGTGTTACAATTTGTTTCTTCTTAAGTGAAAAATCAAGCAGTTTCCCATAGTTTTTTCTTCAAAGAAGAAAAGATTAACTGGAATAACGTTCTCGCCAGAGTTCTTCATTCTCAGATTTTCTATTCATTTATGGCATATCATAATGCCTGTAACCGTGTGAAAATGTGCCAACAGCAATCATGTAAGAGAGAGGGGGGGAAACTAAGTATTTCTAGAAATTTGGAAAATGAAGCTTTCAAAGCCAGTTTAAGGGGTGCTACTTTAGGGTCTAAGACATTCCCTCGCAGTGCTCATTCAAACACTGGATTATATCACAAAAATGTCTCCGATGGAACAGTACTGCTGGGGGCCAGGAGTGCAGTGGAGAATACTGAGCTTACGCTTGTGACACCACAGCGAGGATTACTGTGTGCTCCGAGGGGTTCGTAGCCCGGATCGACCTGTAAAGAGAAGCTTCAAGTCAAAAACATGGACTCTGTTACATCAAAAGATTATGGAACTTCTTCACATTGAAAGTGGCACAAAATCAAATCTTTCTCTAAAGAAAAAAAAATATCAGAACACACACACACACACACACACACACACACACACAAGACACAAAGAAAGATGACCTTGTGAATTAGGACAATCTCTTCATTTTATTTTTTTATATTGTTTTAACCCCTGGGCAATTCTCCAACAGATCAGACCTGCCAGTTTTCCACTTCAAAAATTGACAAATCCACTTAAAGTTCATGTTTTCTGATTGAAATCTGCTTCTCTTTATTTAAAAAAAGTCAGTATTACAATACTTTAATTATCAGTTTGTACCCAGGCTATGTTTGTACCAACTATGTTGGATGACTTTTCTTTTAAAACAGTAGATAATCAAAAAGTTGACCTTGCAATAAAAATTAAAGTACTTGCTAGCAGACATATACAAATGAAGGTTAAAGCCTGCTAAGGTCATTCAAAGAGCTGATCAATCAAAGAGCCCAACCCTTGTTTTAGTTTTCCTGTTTTCATACTTATAGTTAACTACTTAGTCATTAGGCTTCAAACAATTTAGACAGCAACTGGGGCTGAGAAATGATAACTGTCAATCAAATTTGCTGAACAAGGACCACTTGCACATGGTTTAATTATTAGCAATTTAACAAAATAAAAACACATATGGATTACAGAATTTTGAGGTATGTGAATCTCACAGGATGTGTGATGCTACACACAGCTCAGATTCTAGACTACTCTGGTCAAGGGTCATGAATTGACCAAATTTTTAACAAAGGGCCATATTCTTGAATCAGTTTTGACTGTTCCAGCCCATCCCCTTGGTCTGGCCTCTGCTTATTTTGAGGTCTTTCTAAAAGGAACCATCATCACCAAGAGCAGAAGTAATCCTGAGTAAGTGGTAGAACACTGTGCATTTGTTTTTTCCCCTGTAGCTCTGGGCATCTCTGTTCATCTCCATGCTAACGTGTTTGCACTGAGATCCCTGGGGGGGTGGAGCCTCCTACAGCTTCATTTTCTTCAACTTGAAAATTTCCTGACCTTTCTTTAAAAATGTACTTTCTCACTGGCCTGCTCCTTGAAATGTATTTTGTATAGACAGCAGGCTTGGGAAAAAGATGGCTGGTCACGCTCCTGCAAAGCAAAGTTTCTCTCATGGGCAATGTACATGAATGAGCTCATTTAGAAATAATCCCTTAACTCATGGTCAGGCAGAAAGGCTAGGTCAGCCACTTCAGTACTTAGGGATCACTTCCCATTTCCTTGCATTCACCCTGGTCTTACCAAGGTGAAGTTACACTCACTTTGCATTTAGAAGTCTACTGTATGGATACTCAGTAGAGGTACCAGTTCCCAGCACGTGAAAACAAAATGCATTGTGTGAGAGGCACGCTGTAATCTCAGGGGAGACACTGTACACATCTCGCCTTCATTCAGCCTCTCCTACCTAGTGATATGCCATGGGCACAATGCTAGGTAACATTCATTCTAAGAGGCGAGGCTTAGACAAGAGGCTAATACATGTAATGAACACAACTGAGCAGGAGTGCACACTCTTGGCTTCCTTTGAGGTTGGCTCCTGTCTTTTGGGTTGCATCCTGAGGCTTGCCTGCTCTCTCTCTCTCCTCTTTCCTAAGGAACTTGTGGTAAGATGGGCTCTGGTCTCTTCTGGGTGAGGGGACTAAGGGAGATCCTGAAGTTCATAGGTATGAGATCTGTATGGTAAACGAAGGAAGGTCCAATCTAGCTAAAAAGCCTGGGATGTAGGCCCAGAGATGGCAGCCAAGAATGCACATCTACCAGAGCATGTCTCCCACTCATATCCAAGGGGGTCATTGCTGCTTTTATGCATTTAAGACTCTGGTGACCCACAACTGGAGCAGTAATGCCAGCAGGCACCCAAACGTACAACTTCCTCTGAAGCACAGATTAGATTCCCCATTGCTTTTCCATGCTATGGCAGAGGCACAAAAAATCATGTCTGTTTACGCTCAAGGAAGAATGTAAAGGCCAACTACTAACCTAGGCCTTTGCCTGAATTAAAAGATTTCTTCTAGGGCTGGGCATGGTGGCGTACACCTTTAATCCCAGAGGCCGAGTTCAAGGTCTGCCTGGTCTACATAGTGAGTTCCAGGACAGCTGGGGCTACAAGGAGACTCTGTCTCAAAAAGACCAAACAAAAAAAAAAAAAAAAAAAAAAAAAAAAAAGAAAAAGATTTCTTCTATGAATTTTATTCACAGGGGGAGCTTGTCTTAAATCATTCTATGACCTCACGAGTACTGAAGTATTTCTATTACAAAACCAAGTAATAGAGGGCTAGGAACCAATTCTACCCTGAAAATCATTCTGAAAGAAAGTATATTTTTTCTGATTTGGTTTTTGTGTTTTGAGACAGTGCCTTGTTATGTAGCATAGGCTGGCCTTGAACTCATGACAGTCCTTCTACCTCAGCCTCTTAAGTGCTGGGATTATAGATGTGCACCATGTGTGACTAACAAGAAAATATTTCTTAATATATTTCTTAATGCTTAAAATAGCATCTAAGTATATGTACTACTAAATAGCAAAATATTTCTATTGAGGAAGGTTGGATTTGAAACCACTAAAACATTTAAGGACTGGTGAATTAATAAAACTTTTTTGGGAAAAATGCACGTCATCAAAGAAATAGCAAGGCAAGGCTTGTGCCTCTTATTCCGTTCATTTTCACCAGCATACCAAAGGTTCTAAGAGTCAGTTTCTCTACCTTTCATTTACTAGTATTCAAGAAAATTCCAGCCCTGTATGTACCTGGACTCTGTTCTGTTCTCACATTTAATTACTGACCCCTTCCAGGCCCGCTTCAAAGCATTTTACTTCTGCTAAACGGCTCAGTTCATCCTGAGCTTGCTCTTAGGACTGTGCGTTTATGAACAGGCATGTGCTTGCTTCCCAAGCATTTCTACAAACAAGTGGTGGGGGCATCGGGCCCTGGAAGACTTTTTGCTGCTACAAAGTGGCTGCCTTCCCTCCCCATCTGGGAAGCCAGGATCTACCCATCTGTGTCAAGTATGGAAAAATTTATATTTCACACATTTGTGATGCTCATTTTGGGATAGAATAATTGAAGTTTAAAATATCTACTTTAAATCCAAACTGTATCTGTGTAATAAAAACTGTGTGAATTTTAATGACTTTTTTATGAGCAATACTCTGGAGTGTGCAGGGGAGGGGTATCCTTACGTTTAGGAGAGTCCAGCTGACACCTCAAAATCCAAAGCAATTCAAATGTGGAGAGCTAGGAAGGCAAAATGTACCCATAGGAATATAGCAGTCATCATGGAAATCTGCCTATGATACTCAGCAGGGGCAATGCTGGGAACTAAAGATGTCTATGAAGGAAGTTCATTTAGAGCAGTTCAGGGGGGGGATCTAAGCATCTTAGAATGAGGAAGGTACCTGCACACTGCTTCTGCATCAAAGTTTCGGGTTTGCCTGTGATCAATCACAATAATTTCATGATGTTTGTCCAGAAAGCATTCAAGGGCTGACTCTGGAGTCCGAGCAATGTTACATCTGTAACCGGCTCTGTCGCAGGCCCACCAGAAGCCATCACTCTGGCTATCTTCTTTTGCAAAGATTAGCAAAACCTGAAACAGAACAGAGCACCTTGACAGAAATCATTACCATCAGAACTGTACTGGAAACAGTCCACTGGCATACTGGTTAAACACAGGGCTCTGGAGGGAAGCTGTGCTATTCAAATTCAGCTCTTCCAATGATTCCCGGGGTCTCTGGCCGAGTTATTCCATCTTATTGGAAGCTAGCTGGGAGCTAGCTAGTCATTGGAAGCCTAGTTGGGAGCTAGCTGTGAAGACAGGATTGGACACAGAAAGAAGCTCAATCACTGTAGTGAGGGTTGTTTGCTGCAGTTGTAAGTTTCCTTAATTCCATATTTAGCTCTGTTTTTAAACAAAGAACACAGTAAAATTACTGACAGGGTAAGTCAGGGAGGATATGCAGGTTAGGCGATGATTTGAAAATGTATACATTTGGTTTAGTGCAAACAATATTTGCTTCTGAGTCCCCAGGGGCCCTCTCCAAACTCAGCACTAAAATAGCTATAAAGACACAGGAACCAAAGAGAGCTGAAAACAACCCGAGGGACTAATTTCAACATTAACCCTTGCCAATATACAAAAAGAGCAATCATGGAATTGAAGCTGACAGAATGAAACTGAGGAAAATTTGCCTCTATTGCAAAGTACAGCCCTACTCACGAAGGAAGGCAGCAGTGCTTTCCAGAGTTTCCCTCAGCATCCCTGGGCTCAGGAAAGCCACAGAAAGCCTTACCATCCCCTGAACCTACTCATATGGTCTAACTCATGCACTGAGAACGAAGCCTCAGAAGAGCAGGGACAGCCAGCCTTGCTCCCTGCCATGTCCCTGTACCCAGCAGCCGGCAGACCCTTATAAGCTGCTCAGTAAAAACTTGATGACTGAAACAGTAACTATTTATAGGGTTTTATAAGAAATACAATAAGGGGGGGGATGGAGAGATGGCTCAGCGGTTAAGAACACTGACTGTTCTTGCAGAAGGCCCAGGTTCAAATCCCAGTACCCACATGGCTGCTAACAACTGTCCGTAACTCCAATTCCAGGGGATCTGACAGCCTCTTCTGTCCTCTGTGGGCATTGCACGACACAGGTGCACTTACCTACATGCAGACATACCATTCATACACATAAAATAAAAATAAATAAAATATTTTTAAAAAAGAAATACAAGAAGGCTATTTTATTTTATTTTGGAGAAAAGGTCTTGCTATGTAGCGACAGTTGGCTTTGAACTTGTGATCCTCCTGCCTTAGCCTGCTGAGTAACTGGGATTACAGGTATAAACCACTGAAAGAGGCTTTTACTATTATTTTACTAGGAAGGAGACTACCTCTCAGCAATAGAGCCCAGGATAAAAAAAAAAAAAAACTAAGATATTGATAAGACATTAAAAAGTCTCCAGCATCTACTTCTGGTTTAAAAAATTAGGAACACACTCGGAAGGCTGAGGCAGGCAGATCTCTGTGAGTTCAAGGCCAGCCTGGTCTACATAGTGAGTTCCAGGACAGCTGGGGCTACAGGGAGACCCTGTCTCAAAAAGACCCAAAAAAAAAAAATTAGGAACCCTTCTCAGCGTGAAGGGTTTTTAAGGTAATAGCATAGATTATGGCAAAATACCCAAAATATTTCATTTGTAATCCAGGACAGAAACAATTCAAAGTGTCCAACTACCACCATTACATTTCTAAAATACATATTACTTGAACATTAGAAACCCATATTAATGTAGACACAAAAATACAATGAATCCCATGCACTCATCAACAACTTGCTAGCCAATATTGGCTTCCCTCTATGCCCCCTCTTCACCTTCTTTCCCAAATCTTGTGTTAGTTTGTGGCAAATCCAGTTAGTGTATCACTTCATCAACATATGTCTGTTAAACAGAAAGACACTTTTCTTTAAATTTTTTTATTCATTCTTGGGGAATTTCATACACTGCATTTGATCATATTCACTCCCTCCCCCAACTCTTCCAAAATTCACCCCACCTCCCCATCCACTCAGCTTTGTGTCCTCATTCTTTAAAAAAAATTCATTGAGTCCAGTTTGTGCTGCCCATATACTCAGTGTGTAGCCATCCATGGGAGCATGGTTGACCTACTGGCAGCCACACTCTTAAAGAGAACTAACTATCCCTCTTAAAGTTATTAACTCCCTATAGCTCCTCAGCTGGGGTGGAACTTCATGTCCACCATACTGGGATTTTGTCTGGCCTGAGCTTGCATAGGTCTTATGCATGCTGGCACAACTATATGCGCAACTGCCCTGAGGTGTCTGGAAATCACTTGCTCATTGTAGTCATTCCCCACCTCTGGCTCTTATAATCTTTCTGCTCCCTCATCCATGATGATCCCTGAGATGTGGAGGTAGGGGTGTGATATAGATGTCCCATTTAGGGCTGTAGTTTGTTATTCTCTGAACCTTGACCAGTTGTGATTCTCTGTGTTAACTGTCATCTATTGCCAAAAGAAGTTTCTCTGATGAGGTTAGTGCTGGAAGGTGCTATGCATGCTATGGGAGGGAAAAAAAGCAATCATCAGTCTTATCCAGCTGCGAACCTTGCAAGCTACAAAAATAGCCAGCCTGGTAATAGTGGTCCAATAGTGGTACTAATGTCATGGGAGTAACTAACCACTTTCAGATTGGATTTAAGGCCCACTTCACAAGACAAAGACCATACCTGGTATCATCATCAGGTTCAAGAACCTTTGGCTAGACAGGTCATAAGCACAAGGGAAGAACCCACTATTTTTCCGCTAAATGGATATAGTATTAAACTGACCTCCAATATTTTAGTTACACCCAGAGATTAGTGTATCTCTTATCTTTAACATTTGTATTAATACTTCGAGAATTTCATACAATGTATTCTTTCCCAACTCCTCTCAGATCCACTCACTATCTCCCCATAGAACTGATTTCATGTCCTCATTTTTTTCAATAACTCACTGAGTCCAATTTGTGCTGCCCATACACTCTTGATGTGTAGCCAACCACTGGAGCATGTTTGACCTACCAGGAGCCACACCCTTAAAGGAAACTGCTTCTCCCTCCCTCTGAAGCCATTAACTTTCCATAGCTTCTCAGTTAGGGGTGGGGCCTCATGAACCTACTCCCACTCCACGCTGGAATGTTGACTGGCTTGATCTTGTGCAGGCCTTGTGCAGGCAACCACAGGTGCTGTGAGTTCATGAGGACAGCATCCTGTCATGTCCAGAAGACACTGTTTTTCTCTGGTTCTCTCTGACCTCTGGCTCTTACAATCTTTCTGTTGCCTCATCTAAGATGGCCCCTGCTTTTGGGGGGTGGGGATTTAACCCAGATGTCCCCTTTGTGTCTATGCACTCCACTGTCACTTATTTTCTGTACTTTGACCAGTTGTGAGTTTCTGCATTTATTAACCACCACCCACTGCACAAAGATACTTCTCTGATGAGATCTGACAGCTGCACTAATCTATGGGTATAGTGGTATGAATTTAGAGGGCAGCTTGATACTATATCCATTTAGCAAAATAATTGTAGTAGGTTCATTCCTGGGGTCTGTGAGCTCCCTATCTATGGGTCCTCTGCCACATTACAGTACCAGGCATGTGTTTCCTCCTGTAGAGCAGGCCTTAAATTCAATCAGAAAGCAGTTGGTTACCACTATAACATCTGTACCATTGTTGTACCCATGGGCATATCTTGCCATGCCAGCAATTACTATAGCTCATAGGGTTCACAGCTGAGTAAGACTGATGTTAACTTTTTTCTACCTAGCAGCCTACAGAGCATCTGTTGGGACTATGAAAGCTGACCATCAGCAAGGAAACTCTCTAGTCAGTACTGACTTGATTTGATCATGTCCTATGACCGAAGTGTATAGTGAGGAAGTTTTCTATAAGAACAAAACCGTAATAACATTTTGTACCTCAGCTTCCTCCAATAATCCCTGAACATAATATCCAAAGATAAACATGTCAGTCATCTTATACTTTGAATCATTTTCTTTTTTCTCAAATACCGTATTTAGAGAAAAATAGTATCTTTTCCTCAACATGACTTTAACATCTTTTTTTCTCAGCACATGGCTTAAAGCTAGTAATACACTGGGCAGTCATATTTTCTAAGAGTTCACTCTGGCCAGGGTCTGTCACTCCTCAGTCCAGGGTGCTCCTAACATTTGCCACCACTGAGATCCTACTAGAAAGACACAGGAGGCAGCTCTCCCAAGAGAGATGAAGGGCACAGACTTGAGGATTATGATAATAAAAAGAAAGTCTTCAAACAAAATTATTTCCAAGGCAGGCACAATGAGAAAATCAGGCAGAATGAACTTGTTTGTGCAAGAAGGTGATAGCCTGCTTGGTACAGCTGTGGCATTAGCAGGAGAAACTTAATATGCAGAAGCTAGAAGTCAGAAGCTGACAGAACTTTTTGTCTTTTACCTGTCTGGCTACATGATGGATTTCTGAATAAGAATCTCAACAACTTAACATTTATTTCCTTGCTACCATAATGGCTCAATATTTGACTAATACAATAAGAACACAATTCTATTCTCCTAATAGACATTCCTATACAAATATCAACTAACCTTTTTGGTTTCATGTATCCTTACACAAGACTGAGTGTTCTATTTTTTGAAAAGATAATAAGAGGGCACTATTCCACAAACAGTTCCTGAACACATAGCATGTGCCTGACATTTAAAAAAATTACTTAGGGTATGTTGTTAAACAAAATAGAGACTCCTTGTTTCTACTACAAACTACAAAGCAGTAAGATGAGTGAGGGGGAGCTGAACTGGTGCCAGTAGAGGGAAGAGGCAGATGGTCAAAAAGGAGTTGGCATCTAAAGATGAAGTTTTCCAGGTGGAGCTCTAGAAACCCCTATGGGGACCAGGACTGTGCCTGAGGTGTCTAAGGGGGCTGCATGGGAGCCAGTGTGACAGGGGAAAAGGAAGATGGAGGAAAGTCAAGTTTAAAGCAGTGGATTAGATCATAGCAAAGTTATGCAGGCCATTTTAAAGACAAAGAAATTAAGCA